AGCAATTGTTTACATGTGAGCAATGTAAATTTAGACCTGCAATTATTTTGAAATTAAGACAGTATATATACTACACTAAATTTATAGGGAACTTGGATTCCAACTTTTGAAGCTCTGAACCACAGCTCCATTCAACAAAGAAAAGGAGGCATCTCACTTGTCAGATACGAAGAGTGAATTTATTTTCTAAATTTAAAGTACTCCATACTGGGAACAAGGCAAACTACACTAGCATCACAAAAAGAAAAAAAAATCCTAGAGAGCTCGTTTATTACATATTTAGACATAAACTTATTTTTCATAGACTCTACGTACAGCTGTCATTACCTGCCCCTGGAATAACAATAAAAATATAAACATCAAGAAATGGCAGACTTTCGGGCTAATTTGCCCTTACTTATAGATTAAAGAGCAGATAGCAAATCTTATGAAACTAGGATGAATCTTACAGAGGCAGAGTTTCCAAAAGTGTGAAGAGAAACTGATTTGGGTATTGATGCACTGAACACAAAATTACCTATCCATTAAACTTGTATTACTTGTGTGTAATCCTGATTTAAGGGCACAGACACCCTCCTAGGAGTGTTCCTTGAGTCCAAATAAACTCTGAATCCATTGCTCAAAGGCCCCTCCAACCCGGTCAGCATGTGTCTTGGGATCTACAAGGTTAACAAGTAAACAACATTGCTGTTGACATTTTTAACAACAAAAGCAACACCAGTCCAGGAAACTCAAGCCATGAAAAAAACCCCTCATATAAACAGATGCAGGAATGATCAACACCTTTCCTGCTCCAGAGGCACATAAAACAACCAGATTTTCAAACCCAGAGTGGGCCAGACAGGATGACACTGTGAGAATGATTAAGCCCTGTAGTTCCCACCACTACAACGGGAGAAGCGAGAAGAGACCTCGGGAAGATGCAGATGCAACAGAAGGAATATTAACCAAGACAGACAGAATAGATCTGAGGATAGTTTGCTTCCACTGAGAAAACAGTAATCCTTTAGACAATACCATATATTTCTGCCACAAAAGATGAAGATGGGCCACCTGGGCTAGAAGATGAAGGAGCTTGAAAAGTTTATAGTTGTCCTCTAACGGGTAAGAATTCTGCCACACCAGGACTTCCAAGTACATTTTTTTCATAGACTAAACTATAAAACAATAAACTGAAGTACAGACTGCGAGTTATGTAAAACTATTCCCATCTGATGACCAACCAGGAAATTTTAAGAAATCAATCCGCATATGGAATATTAAACTGGCCATTCTGAACAGACATGGCATCTTTCTTATTTTACATATATGTAAATATAACACTTAAATATTTATTTGAAATACAAAACTTGTGCAGCAATTTCAAGTTAAAGACAATTTTTTAATAGAACTTGTGAGTGTTCAACAGCAGAAAATTAGCTTTGTGTTAGCATTTTAAATTTTAGCAGTAAAGCAGAATAAAACAGCAATGGGAAGCTATCTTCATAATTGATCACTTTTATATGACTTCCTGGAGCACCAACATCAATTATGTCTGTATGTCAAAACAATGCTGGCACACTGCCAGTGAAGATTCAGATCAGGGCCACCAATTTATTCATTTATTCCTTTTCAGAAATCAGCGAATGGTACAGACAACTTTTGGTCGTGAAACACGAATACTATACTATGAAGTAAAATGAATGAAAAGCCAGCGTGTCTTTGTTGTACATATAAGTAAAAGGCAAAATGCATTTATTTTAACTTGCTTAATTTCGAGTCTGCAGTCAGCCACCTGTTAGTACAGTATTGCCTGGCTGCTGTTAAGTCTTTCTCGTAAGAAATCGGTGATTTCTAATTATCATGGTATGATATAACAAGGTATGCACTCATTCAGAGGCCTTTTCTTTTTATTTCAGTCTCACATATGTAACTGGTTTTATCAAGGAACCATTCAAAAGTATGATGTTGTTGGTTAAAATTGCAATGTTTCTCACCATTTTATGGCACAAGTAACATTTCTTTTTCTCAGCTACTTGATAATGCTTTTCCGGTTACAGCAGATTGGGTGCTTCTTGCTGGGTAATACATTGTTGTATATGAAAAACCTGTATCAAAACAGGATATCCAAGGCAGTCATTTATCTTATAAACATGAAAACATGGTTAATATTCCTAAGTAAAGAGAATGGCCTTATATGACAGTGCACCTAAGATGTCTTGCATCAGTGAGCCTGACCCTCATATAAATAAGTCAATTGGGAGGCTGTTTATTACAGATTTATTAGAAACCTTGTTAATAACTTAAAGTGAGTTATTAACATGAAAGTAACTATGCTTCTGACAATTTTGTATCTGGTTGCCAGGAGACTTGTGCTCCTGACGAGATAAAATGAAGAGGAAATCCTCTATAGCCTTGTCACTTTTTTCAGTAGTAAACAAAAATCAGCACAACTGTTATAAAATACTAGCTACTGTAAACAGAAGAGAGAAAAAAAGACAAGCATTGCATATTTTAAATAAGGCTACAGCCCTTTTTGCCCTCTCCAATTATAAGATGATAAAAGATCACCTTTATAAAGCAGAATGACCGGATTTTGTGGAACGTGGCTGTTTTGGCTCCAAGGTATTTGTAGCGTTATAGTATCAGAGCCAGGATACAGCTGCCTTGTGACTAAGACGTCGTTCACTGAATAAGTGCTATCCAATCCCTCGACGTCACCAGACATCTGTTTCCTGTTTTCATTCTTTCTTTCACTGTTATCATTTTATCCAAGTTACCCTTTCACCTGAAAACCATTTAGAAGCCTACAGAAACCAGCGCGTGCACACGCCTGTATATCAAAGAAGTTGATTTAGGAAAAAAAATTGCTGAGAGCAATTTGTTCATTTTAATACAAAGAGCAGGA